TGTAATCAAAACAAATGCCAGACTTTCATGGTATGTAGAGGAAATATATTAATTATAATATGAAGCTATTGAGTTCAAAACAGCCTTTGAGCCACACATTTTCTGCAGACTTCTCTCTAGCCAAGAAATCTTAATTCCACATTGCAAAGTTTTGAAAACTATGACTATTCCACACATTATAGCAGAGAACACTTCTCTCTACCATCTTACTGAGATATATATTTATTAAGTGCTGACAGTTAACTTTCACAAGACTCTCAGGGAGATCTGGTCCTTATTCTGTGAATTTACAAAAATTGGGCTGAAGGAGCCAGGAAACACAACTGTATTTTATTATTATTTAAACAATTAATTTGTGATAGCATTTCACTCTGAAGCAATGGTAAGCCTTGCAGGCAAATGCCTCATTCAGTAAAGATTTGAAAATTATTTTTGTTTAAATAACAGCTGGTCTTGCCTATATGGACTTAAATGAGCCATGTGGAGACAAACTTGTTTCAGTTTGGGTAAGAAAGATTAAAAAACATTAATTGTAGTTAATACCCATTTTGGTCCCTCTACACAGATGGGAAAAATAACATTAAATTACCATGCTTACATACAGTCAATACCAGACACCCAATAAAGCACAAATTCAAAGCCCTGCTCATAACGCGACTGATGCACACAGTTCCAGCAGAACAGCTCAGCTGCAAGTTAGCCTGAAACAAAGGAGATTTACATTCATTTATCCACTTTGCCACAGACTTCCTGCATGACCTTGGACAAGTCACTTGGTTTTTGTGTGCTGCAACTCCCCATCCCTAAAATAGGGAAAAACATTTATTTCATAACCTCACAGCAATTAGCAGATTTACTATCAGGAGATGCTTAGATACAGAGGTCAAATAAATGACATAAAGAGAATAAACAGCAGTTAAAGCTTTAATTAACTTCTGTTAAAGCTTTAGAAACCTTGTCACAGTGACAGAAGGAAAGCTTTGGCACAATACAAGTCTTATCTACAAACAAAGATCAGGGCTGCCTACGTAGCAAGATGGAACCGTATTTCGACATCTGCAGATAGTCGCGGATGCAGACTTCCATGACCCAACGCACAGACACAACATACTCCTCTATCACCAACGTATAGAGAAGACCAAAAGTTCAACGTCTCTAGGTACCTTCTTTGAGTTCTAAAACAAGAGTTACAACTTTCTGATATAATACAAAGTAGGAGAAGACATCAGCAGGTACCCTCTTAAAAGATTTGAAATACTTCAGGTCCAAACAGTTATTCTCCAATTCATACTAACCGCTAACCACCTTTTGAACTTGAAAGCCACAGTTAACTTTCATAACTCAGTATTAATATCAGAAGTCAAATCATCTTGCAGATAACAGAAAATTAAAGCCGTCTACAGCGCCAGCCTACCGAAAACGATGAAGAGGGTAAGAACAACTCAGAAGTAGCCAAATGCTACACATATACTACACTAGGACACTTATGAGGACAGCATTGCCTCCATCAGGAATCCACAAATTTGTAAAGTGTATTAAATACATCTTTTTAGAAAACGTCTTCAAGTCCAAAAATCTACTTTTTGAATGCAGGCCAAACATATACAGCATTTCCATGCACGTATTCTGCACCTCTGTACAAGTAACTGTACTAGCCTGCATAAAATCAAAATCACAGCCTGGGGAGGGAGATCTGAGGGGCAAAGGGACTACATGGGATGATGAAGCAGTCAATGAGAGACGAGCACAGGTAAGCATTTGGAGGACACAGGCAAGCTATGGAAAACCAGAAGCACGGAAACTACAGAGGGGAGAGGAAGTTCTGGGATAAACTTCCCCTCATATTACCCACATATGTGTAAAACCCACACAGCTGCTCAATCACAGGGTGTTGAGTGTGCTTGGGGTTTGGTTTTTTTTGGTTTGGTGTTTTGTTTTTTTTTTTTTAAACAGATGATCTGTGGGTTACACACATGAAAATACGGTCACTGCAAGCTACAAAAATAAAAATGAAACTCATTTGTTTTTAAGCTATTTTGTTTGAAATATCAAATGGTTTTCATTATTTGTAATTGCATCTTATATGTGGTGTTTTATAAGAAGAAAAATAAAACAGTTCTTACTGAAAATCATTTACAACCTAAAGCTTTTTCTTTCAATATGCAGAGCTGCTCTGGGATGTGTTAAATATCTTCAACTCCCATTACTGCAATAAAACTGGAAGAACAGCAGCACTTTGCAACGAGGCCAAAAATTAAAGCGTGGCCAACAATGAACCGCTATCAAACACGGGGCACAGCACAGAACAGGGGAAAATACAAAGATGGTGGTAAGGGGCATGAGAACAAATGTCCAGCAGAAAAAAAGAACATGACATTTCCAACATAAGACAGGATACCATTTCGGACGCACATTTTCAAATGTGACTTCTGAGACTTTGGCACCCCTAAAGTTGACAGCAGAATAAGTAGTACCAGGTATCGTATATAGCTCCCTGAATATGTAGATTTTGAGATTAGTCTTGCAGGAGAGAGTGAGATACCTAAAAAGAGAGGACTGCCCTCTCCTCCAGTGACACCTGAAAGAAGTCTGTAGAGGCACAAAGGCAGCAGAGAGATGAGGGGCTGGAAGTCAGAGGAAAGGTGAGGATAAGCAAAGTCATGAAGGCAGGAAATTGAAACTAAGTTCTGGAACTATGTATTTAATACCGCCATCACAGCATGCTAGTAACATTCATATGAAGGGAAAAATAAAAAAAACAAAGGAAAAGAGTGACACTGTCAGCAGGCTTCCCCAGAGCAAGTTTTGGCAACCTTAAACGTCATGCAGCAACCAGCGTCTCTCACTTGCTTAATGTCCTCACACTCACAAATTGACTATTTCTATTTCTTTTTCCACAAGAGGTAAACTTTCCCCCTAACTGTAATAGCTGAAACTCATCTCACTGTTGTGGCAATCGGCACCTGCCTACCCTTTTACAAACCAGCTGCTACAGAAGCAAACTCCCAGTGCTTGGCTGTGCAACTGGAACCTCGTTAGCCATAAGCAGAGCTGTTCTCCTTCATTCTCAGCACTATCTTTACTGAAGTAGGATGACTTCACCCCAAGATGAGCAATACCAAAACTCCTTTGGTCACACACCCTCCCCCTTCCATTCACGTTTTCCTATCTATCAACATATTAAGAGACAGTAACAATTACACCAGTTTCATGTATTATTTGCAAGAGTTGCCAGCCTTCAGTCACTCAACTGAAGGTCGGAAGGAATGCAGAATACTTGTAATTGCATTATGGGTGAAGCTTAATCATCACTACTTGTACTATGAACTAATTTTTACCATTAGAAATAGTTATAAAGGCTGAAACAACACAAATTTACTATGTGGGCCTTGAAGTGCATTACCCTCAGTGGTCTATGTAATTAAAAAAAGAAAAATCAAAACCATATTCTATTTTGACAGGTAGTCTGCTAGCTCGTCTTCACCTGTGAATGATGCCAATTGAAACAAGGACAAATTAGGGTTCTAATATTCTTTACACAAACCTTCAGATGAAACCTGCAATCTGACATACTCATATACTACCACAACTTTTGGATAGATTTGCAATAGACTGCAGTCCCACCACCTTGATCACCCAGATTCAGTTATCTAGAAAGCAAGCCACAGCGCCTTTCCGAGCTGTGCTTCTGGGTTTTGTTCCCATGAAAATCAGGTTATGGTGGGAGGAGGAGGGGAAAGCATGTGGACTTCATCCTGACACGGAGCCAGGACGCAGGCAGGACAGACACCTCCAGCCCAAGAGCTGGAAGCTCTTGTAATATTCAGGCAGTCATTATCGTCACTAAAACAATTATCGTCACAGCTAAAGATTTCAGAGCTCATCGGATATCCTCCAAACAGCACAAAAATCCTAGTATCAGCCTAGACCTCTACTCACATGCTTCATCCCATCCCTCCTTTCGTTACTTATGATCCTTGGGACTGGTACCGAAAGAGTGGCTCTGGACTTGTTAGCCTAACTCTTGTGCTAATGCCTCTCTGCAGACTAACAGAGGCAAAAAGCTTCAATAAAAAGGTTCATGTGCACTTGTGGGTGGCAACTCAATACTAAAAAGACCAACTTAAGCAGTTATTTATAAACAGAATTTTCTCTTATTTCTGCTATTACCAACATCAAAAAGCCTCAAACCTCAGTCACAGCAAGAAGATAGGAACAGAGCTGTGCTTTGGCAACTACAGCGAACACAGACCGGACCGAAAGCCACTTTCCTCTTGAATGAACAAGCACAACCAAAGATGTTACACTACTACTGTCTCCTCTCCAAATGCAAAGAGGCTCGGGCCACCATGCAATGAACCAAATCAACCTGCTAGATGTTTTAAACAAATGGTACAAGTTTCTAAAACATACTTAAAAACAAGCTGCTCTATAAAGGGCAACAGAATATCCCTGCTTGTTATTTCATCAGCTAACACGTGTGCTCCTGTAGGGCACCCACTGTGTGATAAATTCACGCTTCTCTTCCACTGTAAGTTATGTTCACAACAGAACTGAGCTAAAAAGCTCATAGCATTTTACTATTCTCTGCTTCCTTGGCAGGACTCTTATTTATATAAGGTTAGTGCAGTCAGGCATTAGATTTATAAACCAGAAAAAACAAACAAGGAGAAAGTTTTCACACTCTTCTTTATAGGCCAGTTTTGGAAACATACACACAAAGCAGTATAACAGATTGAAATGCAATTGTTAAAAAAAACAAAAACAAAACAACCCCCCAAACAAACAGAAAACTCATATCAAAACACATATAATCTCTGGAGGCCCCCCCACCCGGAAACTATTTAATGTCATCCAAGCATTCACAAAAATACCGTCGGCCACCTAAACAGCCATTCCTCTGCTCTACCCAGAGCCTCTGAGGACAGTTACAACACACACAGGCACACTTCAGCCCCTCACCTTCCCCCACCCTCCTCAGGGAAGGAATCGACACCAACCTGCAGTTGGGAGGTGGATCTAAGGTGATGTCAGCCAATTCCTTCTGAATCCTGTGGCAATAAAAGCGAGAAGGAACAAAGGTAAGTCACTGTGTGGGATAGCAGTTAACACATACGCCTTACAGACATACTGTCACCACAAGTTTGCAACACTACGTAAGAGAGGCACTCTCAGCTGCAGCCTCCCACCAGTCCAAACACACTAAGCAGGACAGGCACCCTGCTACAGAGATGGACAGAAAAGCAGACAGGCACCGTGCACTGAACCCGACAGGTGCACTGTTGTATGCTCCCATAAAGATGCCAACCACATAGGGGCAGGGGAAAAGACTGTCCGCCTTCCTCTGCCAACCAGCCTGTAAATGAGGGAAACCCTCTGCAAATGTGATGCACCGAGGGCTAGGAGGAAACTGCAGTCTGAAAAGGAATTTTGTCTTGCTGGATTGAGAGAAACAGTCATTGCCAAATTGGCTCCCCCCCTCTCCCGCCCAGCTTCCCATCACCATCCTGAGAAAAAACACCAGCCCCAAGGGAGTGAATAACTGCGCCATTCCCAAGGACACTTAAAGGAAGGTGAATATCTATTTCCAAGGCTCCTACACATTCCTGCCACCTTCAATTCTCCCCTCTCTTCACCCTCAAGAGCCACACAACATCCCCATGTCCCCTCCCTCAGGACTCCAGATGCTCCCTCTCTTCACTGCGTTCAGACAACACCCTGTCCTCCCTGCCCACGCTATTCTGGGCTCACACTGCTTTTGCCACAAAACGCCCAACCAGCTATCATCCCCTTCCCTGGAGTCCCATTACTGTCACTCAGGCTTCCCCTCCAGATTCCCCCACCCAGCACTCAGTCTACCTCTCTTCTCTTTTAAACTCAGCCAGCATCTTCTGCCTCTCTTCCACTTGTCATACGTGAGAACCACAGCCTTTTCATATTAGGCAGTTTACAATCCTCTTTTTAAAACAGTTAAGGACACGACACATAAACACCACTTGCCACTATCTATGTCAGTTTGCCATGGAAACCCGCGGAGTGGAGATCTGGAATAACCAAACTGCCTAAATTCTACAAAGCCACAGAGAACTCAGTTGCGACGTCAGGGCATTTGCATAAAACCCCAGCCACTTCTGACACCTACAGATACAACCTCTCTGTGCTGCCTGGCAAAGCTGTTCAGTGAGATGGTTTACTATTCTTACTGAAGTACTGCAAGTTTGCTTGAAAACTTCCATTTGTCAGCTTAGCTCCCTGGAGCAGGATGGTGCTGAATTCAGGTGAAACACAGAATAAATAAGAAAGGGTAACTATTTATTTATTTATTCATTTATTTAAACTGAGTAGCTGTAAGAGTCTGTCCAGGTGAAGAAAACTGACGTAGCTGTTCTGGAATTACTATTCTATGCAGGCATCTCTCCCCCATGTAGACATTAGTCTGGAATAAAAATGATTTCATTCTCAAAAAAAACCAACCCACTCTGTGCTGTGAGCAAAAATTATTTTAAAGCACAATGTCCACAAGTGGACCTGCTGTGGATTATTTATTCTAGTCAACATCCAACCATACACAGAAAATTAAATATAAGTGATGAGCAGACAGAACAACAGTAATGTATTTGGTGGAAAAGATTTGGGGCTATATTACACCACTTGCACTTGAGTGCACTCCCCAGTGCAAGCAAACTCAAAACTCTTCACAAATATTAATTAATCCCCAGAGCAGTCCTGGAAAGAAAAAAGCCACTCTAGATCAATCCCAACCTACAGAGAGGGAAACTGACGTTGAAATGCAATGTCTTACTCAGGACCATACAGCTTCCAGTAGCAGAGAAGGAATTTAATGCCAGTCCCACACCATCCCTATAACTGATGCTAATAAGGAAAAAGGAAAAGACAGTGGAAATAACTGAGGGACAGAATAACAGCCCAGAGGAAGAAAAGACAGGAAAATATTTGGGATGGAACAGAGGAAGAAGCAGGAAAAGAGACCAGAGAAGAAGTCGGGCAGACACTCACTGCACCGAGACGCTGAAAAAAGTGAGACAATGGCAGCTCACGTGGAAAGGTTGAGCATAAGGGCTAGAGATGAGGAATGGGAGCAGCAAGGGAGCAGTGGGGGAACAGAGTAAAATAAAATGAGGAAGGAGAGAAGATGCAGCGAATCAGTGAGAAAACTGGCTGCAGCCTCACCTCTTGGCACTGGTAGATAGCAGCTTAGAGTTTTTACTCATGCTGACTTTGCTTTCCTTCTTCTTAGGCGTGCTTGTCTCTTTCTCTGTCTGTTGGTTGGAGGATGAAGATGAGGAGGAGCTGGTGCTGGCCCTTGAATCGTCATCCGACATAGCGACCCCCCCACCACACACCCCAACCTGGAGAGGAGACACCATGGGGTGTGGGGAACAAACAGTGAACACAAACACACACAGAGAAAGGCCACTGACAATCTCGCTCTGTGTTTGGGTCATGCTCCTTTTAAAGGGTCCTCGTGTCTCCCTCTCCTCTTCAGGCCCTACAGTCGAAGCAGGAAGAGCAGGAGCCTCCCCTGCACTAGTAACACCGAGGAGCAGGGGGAAAGGGACTTTTAAAGCTTCCTCTCAGAAAGCAAGTGCGAAATGAGAGGAGAAGAGACTGGAACGAGGACAACTGCGAGGATCAGGGAAGCTCAAAGCAATTCCTTCTAATCTCCCCCAAACTGCACACACAAGAGGAGCCATCACCACCCACCACTATCCAGCCTAGGGGTGTAGAAGATAAAAATGGAACAGCTCCGGTCCCTTGGGTTCCCGGGAGGCACGTGGGGGAGGTGGAAAGGGATGGGGCTGGGGGGGTGACCGCCACCAGCACTAAAATGGAAGTGGGGCATCACTGACAACAGGGGGGAGACCCCGAAAGAGGATCTGTGACCTGTGGTGGGGAAACCCCTGCCTGCTGGATAACCCCTGCCTGCTGGATCAGGTGTTGGGAGCAGGGCACCAGGGAGGGGGGGAATGAAGGGGAACAGCTAAGCAGGTTGTGGGGTGCATGGAGGGGACCCACCAAGGCCCACTGCACCGAGGGGTATACCAGCAAAGGGGGGAGGGAACAGAGGGTCTGTGCTGGGGGAGTGCGGGGGGGGGCGGCGGTGAGAGGAAAAGAAGGGCCAGGGCCTACAAGGGGTGGCAGCAGAGGGCCTGGGGAG